AATTGTTCGAGCCGAGAAATAATTGCATAGTTCTCCCATCCTCGGCGAAATTTCTTCCAATTTGCTGCCATGTTTCCTTCCATCAACAGTGGTTTAGGGAGCAGAAACTCCTGTTGGAATTATCGGTATAGACACCGAAGCTTGTGTCGTTTGTTGTATCTTGCCCTTTGGCATTGTACTTGACTCTGGGCCGTTTAGATTTTCCATCTCTTCAGTATCAGACATATTTGCAGCTTCTGTGCTTGTCACTATCCCACTCCTGACACCATGTTTCGTTATATGACAGAAAGCACACAAACCAACTACAACATACGTCGATATATTTAGCTAACTAATAAAAAACCTATATACGAAATGTTTACTTGGCTTAAATAGTCTACTAACTAATTATACATGCATGCAAATATTTTTTTAATTGTTTTTATGAATATTGCAACACTTTGTTTTTGACGTGTTTATAACCATGCCATTTTCATTACACCATCTCTCTAAGCAGATCAAATCTTGGTTTATCATTCGAGTTAAAACAGGCAATTTGTCGATACTTGCACTTCTTGCTAAAGTTGTGTCATCGGCATAAATTTCTACATTTGGGTCAGGCATATGAAGAGGCATATCATTTATAAATGTAATGAACAACAACGGTCCGAGGATCGATCCTTGCGGTACTCCTTGTGATACCACTTGACAAGTGGATACACATTCATTTAATTTAACAAACTGTTTTCTGGCGGATAGATACGATGTAAACCAGGCAATTGACGATCCGTCTACCCCATAAATTGCAAGCTTTTTCAGCAGAGTTTTGTGATTTATAAGGTCGAAAGCTTTTTTAAAGTCAATAAATGTCAAACATGTAACCTTATCGTCATCCATGTTAAAAAAGAGTTCATCGACAAGGTTTATTAATGCTGTCTCTGTCGAGTGGTTAGCACGAAAACCTGACTGGAATTTATACAGAAGGTTATGATCTTGGAGGTACTTGTAGAACGATGTGGCCACATGTTTTTCAAGCACTTTAGAGATAACAGGAAGTATCGAAATCGGACGGTAATTATCTGCATCATCACGCGATCCACTTTTATGTAGGGGTGTTACTTTCGCGGTTTTCCATTTGATAGGAAAAGTACCCGATGATATGGAGTAATTCATAAGGCGGCAAAAAGGTTGAGACAATACCGGTGCTGCTAACTTTAGTATTCTAGCACTTAGGCCATCACAGCCAGTGGATTTGTTAGTTGGCATGCTATTCAATGCAGCCAGTACCTGTGTTGACGTAATCGGTGGTATTTCAAAACAATCCTTACCAATCTTTAGCTTTACAAAATCGACTAATTTTTCCCCATCAAATTCGGCATTATTTTGATTGCCTTGACTGATTCTAGAGGCAATATTAATAAAAGCGTCATTCATTGCTTCAGCAATTTCGGCTTTATCTTTTACTACCGCATCATTGACCTTTAATTCATCTATTGTTATTGGATTATTTTTCTTCCCACTTAACGATTTTAGCACTTTCCAAATTCCCTTAGGATTTCCTTGATTATTTTCTATTGATTCTTGAATAAATTGTCGTTTAGAGAATTTAATCATATTTGTAGTTTTGCATCTGGCATGTTTATACAAAGCCCAGTCGGCCGGGATGTTTGACTTACGAGCTTTTTTCAGTAAATTATCTCTATTTCGTATTGAATTCATGATTTCATCGCTCATCCATGCTGGTTGATTTTGCTTTTTGACACGCTTGTGATTCAATGGCATATACATATCAACAACTTCAATAAGCATTTTTTCTATGGAATCAGCAATATCGTTAATGTCGTCAAACACAAAAGCCGAGTCCCACGCGGTACACTCGAGTGATTTAACAAACTCATCAGCATTTAAGTTTTTAAAGTTGCGGTATTTGATGGTATTATGCAGTTGTTTACTAGATCTCTTTGCTTTCGAATATTTACGCTGAATAATTAACGGCAGATGATCTGAAAGGCCGATATCCAAAACTGAAATGCCAACAGTGAACTCAGGATGAGTTGTATAGTAATGATCAAGACATGTTGCACTTGCTGGTCTTGTGACAGAATTTACCATTTGACTGAGCTTCATACTATGCATGCATAGCTTTTGCAAGGTGATGCTTCTTATAAGATAAATCGAGATAGTTAATATTGAAATCACCAAGAATATGCATTTCATAATTTTTCAAATAGGCATTTTCAATGTTATTTTCAAGCTTTATATCAGTATCTGCATTAGACGAGGGAGGACGGTATACGGCGCCAGCTAGTAAAGCTCTGTTAGATGAATATGGACAAATACTTAACCACATGATTTCAACATTTTCATCTTCTAAATCATAAAGCCTGTTCGCTTTTAACTGACTGTTTACATAAGCTAATATTCCTCCGCCTTTTTTATTACCCGCCCTGTCTTTTCTATACATTGAATAACCAGGAATTTCGTAAACCGAGCCCGATACATTGGGTTTTAGGAATGTCTCGATAAGAAACATCACATCGATATTGTGCGAAGTCAAAAATAGTTTTATCTGTTCAAACTTTACGTCAGTAAGGTTATTTACGTTCCACTCACCAATCTTCAGACTCTTGTTCGAAGAATTCATTATTGGGTGATTTACGACCCTTCGACTTTGTTCATTTCCAGAGGTATTAGTATCTGGGCCAGGATTTAATTCTACATCTCCACTGGTTATTAGTTGCCATTCCAATTGATACCCACAACAACCATTAGCTGAGTATGGAATTCTGCTTAACATATATCGCTTCCACGGCCGTTCTTTGCCATTGGTATTGATCAATCTGCGAAGCTTGAGAGAGATTTTTAGTCTTTAATATCCATTCACGGCTATCGAGTGGAAGTACACTGGTAATAGCCATGCCCTTTGTCGACTCCACATTATGAACATCATCAGCAAAATAGATCAATGAAGCAGTCACAAACACAAGTAAAGTTATAAAATCGCTACCAAACATGCACGAGCCACCCGTCATGCTTGAATAAGAAGATAAGGCATTAGGTGCAAGCCTCTTAGCTAAGATGGCAGGGTCCAAGCAGGGTCTTTGTTAGAAGGCCGTTTTGACGGTGACGTCACGTGTTACCGCGGCGGTAAATGGAAAAACATGGGTAGATAAACCGAACGCAGCTCATTATTTATATAAAGCAGGGTAGGATCATAAAATAAAGTGTTGCTACTGATAACAGACAGAATTTCCTCCTGTTTATGTAGTAAGAAAGTTTGCGCAATCTACAGTAGTTTGTTGAAAATTAGCAAAGTGATCAGTCTGTGATATACTGATATTTCGATGTTTTGATCGATATAGACATTAGGCAATGAGAACCATATGGTGTTGAAATGACTTTAAATGTCTCAAGACTTAATAATTAAAATAACTAACTTTAATGTCAGTATGAAATATGGGCGTATTCTTGTCTTGTGTGTGCTTGAAAAGCATAGAGCAACCACAGGCATAGTCTATTGTTGGCGAGCATAACTGGAATCATGTTTTTGCTATTCAAAGTAATTACTGTAGCATGTATTGTACACAGCCTGGAAATTTAGAAACATGCCTAGGATATGAAATTCCAACTAAACACCCTGTCTCACACAGTCATGTGAGACAATGTACAAGCAGAAACAAAGAGAAGTGCAAAGCATGACACAAAGCCCTGACAAGTATTTTTTGACAATGAAAGTGTGGTAGGCTATAGATTGAGCTAATACTATGGCAGGAAATTTAATGCCAAAAATACAGATGTAAAAATCTCCCAACTTGTCAACACAATATATGTTCACAACAGGCTTCTAGCAAGCTTGTTGGCAAGTTGTAACTAAACAATGCTGTTATTTTATCAAGTTGCTACAACATCGTCGCTTAATTGCAACTTGTTGACAAACTGTGGAATTGCAGGACGATAACAAGTTGATGAAACAGCTTGTAACAAGTCTGTTGAGCTCAATAACCTTGTTGCGAGCCGTTGACAACTGACCAACAAGCTGGGAGCAAGCAGTGTGAACTCATCCTGATAACAAGTTTGTTGAAACAGCAAGTCTGCTGCAGGTTTGTTACAACTAGTATGTTTTTTATGTGTGCAATATGGTTGCAACCTAAATCCCTCCCCCCGAATTTTACAAAGTGTCTGCCGCTGAACAGAAGCAAAGATCTCAGCAAGAATACAGTATCCTAAGACAAGGAAAATATATTATCTTTGATTACCTACCTTAACAGCAGACCATTTTCTAACATTCCTCTTTTCCTGAATAAGAACAAAACAACAGAGTCATGAACAGAGGTGGAAACAATAGGGGAGCAAGGGAGCAAGTGCTGCTCGCAGGAAATGTTAAACAGCTGCAAGAAATTTGTTTGAATGAAGATTTGCTACTGAAAATTTGAAGGAAACCTTAACACCCATGTCCCACTATGGGTGCAACAACATATGGTTGACAGACATTATTCCTTAAATTGAAAACCATGGTCAGCTAGAACGCTATATGTTTATGCACAATTGCACATGCAGATTTAGCACAAAAATACTCTGTTGATCTGCAGGAAATTTTTGTCTCCAGGTTGTGCTCGTAGGAAGAAAATTATTTTTTCATGCCCTGGTCATGCAAAATATCTACTGACTTCACGTAACAAAGTACATGTGTGGATGGCAGGTAACACGACAGGTAACAAAGTACATGTGTGGATGGCAGGTAACATGACAGGTAACAAAGTACATGTGTGGATGGCAGGTAACATGACAGGTAACAAAGTACATGACTGTGTGGATGGCAGGTAACATGACAGGTAACAAAGTACATGTGTGGATGCCTGTAAAACGAATAACTTTTTATTATGGACAGTTCATATTTCCCTTAAAAACCTCGGTCAGGAAATTTTCGTACAGAACATCTTGCAGGAAATTTTTGTTATTCCATATATGCCATATAATTTACTGGTACGTTCACAAACATGTTTTGCAAGTCAAGATCATTTTGAGGTGGAAGTTTATCACACTTTACAGCAACATACAATCTATCAAACCTTTATATTTGAATTACACAGGAAATTCTTATTTCTGAATTTTGCTCCAAGAGCTGTTCATTTTGAGATATTCATCCATTCTTGACCAGTAAATTCAGCAACTACAGTACACACCCATGATTTTTAAATTAAAGGCTTAATTCGCACAAAACTATTTCTGTCTGACCCGTCTGTCTGACCCGTCGGTCTAAAAATTCGATTGAAATATAGAACCAGTTCTATTTTCATGCAATGTTACATGAAAAATTCATATATCCAAACATATATCACCCTCCTTCCTCTTATGAAACAGGTTAGTTCAGATCTGCAAACAAGTTGTAACAAACTAAGGTTGTTGTCAAGTCGGTATCACGATATGTTCACACTGTTTGTCCTCAGCACGAGGTCTGCAACAAGTTGTTATCACCTTGTTACAAGGTTGTTGTTAAGTCGGTATCAGGATATGTTCACACTGTTTGTCCTCAGCACGAGGTCTGCAACAAGTTGTTATCACCTTGTTACAAGGTTGTTGTCAAGTCGGTATCACGATATGTTCACACTGTTTGTCCTCAGCACGAGGTCTGCAACAAGTTGTTATCACCTTGTTACAAGGTTGATGACAACAGACTTGCTACAAGTTGTTCCAACAAGACTAATACAGGCTGTTCGTAACAAGTAACGTTACAAGCTTGTTGTCATCAACTTGTTAACAACTTGTTAGACTGGAGTGTCAAAACGTTGGGTCTTGATTATAATTCGACTGGGCTTTTAATCATTACTGAGTAGGGAGCGAAATATGATTGATATACCTGGTTGCAGTGAACGAACAAACTGTAAAACTTGTTAGATGCAAACAACTTGTTGGAACAAATTGTTGCACAAGTCTGTTGGCCTCATCAACCTTGTTACAAGATGATAACAACTTGTTCCAGACTTATCAACAAGTGTACACAAGCAGTGCGATTGTGCAAACATATCTTGTTGAACAAGAGCTTTCAGGATCACATGCTAAACACTAGATCAATTCATGTGAAT